CGTTACTAAGCATGCTAAATGAATATTAGGTGAAATTTATAACTGTTATTTTGAAATACCTATACTTTTCGATTTGATTTGTGCGTTTGCTTCTTGGAGTATATTTAATGTTTATTGTTTACTCTCTGCATTTCAGTATGTGATGTGAAATCCATGCGGCGCTCCTGTGCTCCGAGTGTGCGTTCATCGATTGTGGAGCAGAAAACTCATATCCCGAATTTTTCAGTATTTTAGTTACCATTTATTTTTGCTATTTAATGCAAAATTTTAGTTTTGTGTAATTATTACAGATAACTGCTGATTATGATGATATCCCTGAATACAAGAGGAAAAAGTGCACCGAGAAAGATCTTTTCTACCCTGAAGTCGTTGCCGCGAAACAGGCATTTTCCGAATCTTCGTTACCAAAGAGCAAAGAGCCTTCTGCGTCTTTCTCCTCCCTTGACATCCACGCTAATTGCAAAGAGCACTTCAGCGTGGTGTACGCAAAGCGTTCGACGCGGAAGAACATCGTTTGGACGCATGACGGAGTGCTTTGCATCTGTAGGGATGGAATAGCATGTTTGAGAGATATCGAAAATCCTCGGATTGTCATCGCTCGGTCGTCATCAAAGTTACGCTGGTATCCATCGACTAAAGAAGAATCAGAATCCTATTCTGCAGATCAGCATTACTCCTTTGGACAGTGGACAGTGCAGATCATTTCCACTTTCGAATTCAACGATATTCTGCACATTGACAAGGCACTAGCGAGAACGGCTAGCTCATCTCCACCTTCCGCTGATTCGACCAAAGAACTACCAAGAAAAATTTGCAATCTTCCATTCAAACAAGTGCACACATCAACGAGACATGCTGAGATTCATTCTGAGGGGCAAGTCGATCAGTTTGTTTTAAGACGTCCAGACGGAGTAAATGCAGATGAAAACATGCCCATTTCAGATATTGCTGTTGACCGATTTTTGGCCAAGCACCTGCGACCTCACCAAAAGGAGGGTGTAGAGTTTCTGTTCCAATGTATTATGGGGTGGAAAGAGCCGGACAAATATGGGGCTATTCTTGGTGAGTTAGTATTTACTTTAACTCTGATCATTGCTTAGTCAAAAATATGTTCATGCTCTTAATGTAATAGTCAGTTTGTTCACTTCCTTGCAAAAACCTGTATTTCTTACTTCTGACGTGACAAGGCAGAAAGAAATTCATCATCCATTTGAAGAGATATAAGGACAGCGTTATACTTTTGTAAGGGAAACATCATAACGCCATATTTTCAATTTGCCCAATTTGTGAATTGCATATTTTTTTCCACTTTCTGATATGTTCCTCAACGCACTGTCTAAATCTTTCATCAGTTCTCACTTTGACTCGTCATTCTTTATTCATAATGCAGACGGCATGAAGAAAAGATTTCGTCCCTGTTTAGCAGTCACAGACGAAATAAATTAATGGTCAGACATGTTGGCATGCTGGGGACAGAGAGATGTATAGATATACGCGGATGAGTACTTGGCAAGTTGAGAAATATATGCGTAGATCGACCATTACTGATGGGTAAATACATCGACCGATATTTAGGTATACGGGCTAATATTTATATTGGTAAATACATATACAGATAGTCGATAGATAGATATATAGTCAGATATCTAGATATATGTTTAACGATGGATGATAGATGTATAGCTGATTGGAGAGATAGATAATCATATATGTGCATGGATGCGTAGATATACAGATAGATGGGAGAATCTGATAGATGAATAGGCGTATATACTTGGACACGTAGACAAAAATAAATGAAAATGGTGTAGACAGACAGTCTGGTAAGTAGGTGAGCAAATATTTACGTACGTTCATGATGCGTAGACAGGTATGTAGGTTAATACGTTAATATGATGAAATCGAATCTGTAGAAGGAATTCTAATTATGGCTAATTTCTCTGGGAGCAACATTCTTTTGTTGAATAAGAATGCTTCAGAAAGTAGCAAGATTTGATTAGGTGCAAAGATCGCTAAATGTTTTGGCTAATGGATGTGCTTCTCACAAATGAAAAGAAAGCACAGTGTAGATATGCTGCTAGAGCCGTGGATCGACCGCACCGTAGTTCATTATCCATTACCCCTAGCAAAAGTTTGCAAGTTTTATGGCTTAACTTGCGAGAAATAACTCCATCCCTCAACCAATGTAGCAAGTGGCATTGGCGGATGAAATTTCGACCTTTGAACAACTTCTTCTCTATATCTTTGCTTAGGTACTTCTAACCGGAGGCAGAGCTGGAACATGTGATTTGGTTGGAATTGTGGAGGGTGATCTAAAATGTTGTTGATTCATTTCCGGAGAACGAGGTTATCGACGACCTGAAGTTCCTTTCTCCTGTCTTTCGTGATGGCCTCGAATCGCCGTCTAGGAAAGTCTACGGCCAATTTAAGTGGCGGTCTTACTATGAAAGGGGTATTCCTGCATCGCCATAGGATGAAAAGATAATCACGCTGTGGCAGTGTCCACTGCAAGTTATTTGTTCAATCGCCTCGCTTTATGTTAGTGTTTAGATGATCTCGTTCTCTAGAGAAAACGAGGCTCTTTCTTCACCACGGTAAATGGGGCATACATCCTAGCGGACTCTGCATACCATGGCACAGTTAGAATAGACAGCCATGCGAGCCACTTCGCATGATAACTGATGAACGTAGTTACGTATAGATAGATAATCACTGAAGCAACAAGATTGTTGTTATAAGACTCGAGTTTGTAAAAAGTTGTTTTAATATGTTTGTCAGCGCTTATGATATTAATTCAATTTTTTTCTGATTAGCGGATGAGATGGGCCTTGGCAAGTCGTTGCAGTGCATCTGTCTTTTATGGGCACTGATGAAGAGGAACGAGGGACTCGGTCAGCCGATCCTCAGGCGGGTGTTAATCGTATGTCCGTGCACTCTACTGCGCAACTGGGAACAGGAGCTGAGGAAGTGGCTCGGTTTCTCAGCAATGACCACGTACACGATCTATGCAAAGACGGACGTCGCCAAGTTGTTGCCATTCCCTTCACGGTCCGTGGTGATCATCGGCTATGAGAAACTGCTGCGTTCTGTGGAACATTTTCAAGACGGCGACCAGAGCAGTTTCGACCTGATGATCTGCGACGAGGGTCATCGTCTGAAGAACGTGGCGCTGAAGGCCAATTGGATTCTGTCCAGCATTCCGGTTCGTCGTCGGATCTTGTTGACTGCTACTCCAATTCAGAACAACCTTCTCGAACTCTATGCCCTGTTGAATTTCGTAAATCCGGGCATCTTGGGAGATCCAAACGAGTTTAAGGCCGACTACGATCGGCCGATCCTCGCTTCGTTGCAGAAGGACGCCAGCGAAGCCGATGTTTGCTTTGGCCGGTACAAGATGAAGGAGTTGAACAAAATCTTGTCAAAGTTCTTGCTGCGTCGCACCCAAGATGTGATGCAGAAGTATCTTCCTCCAAAAGGTAGTATAAAAATTCACCTTAATTTTGCTTTGTAAATTGGTTCAGGTGTTATTTCATTTGGTTTTGGATTTATGTCAGAAAGCGTACGTAGTGTTCAACTTTTCCCTTTCTCTTCTTATACAAAGGTCTAAGCTGATTTTGCCGAACAGTTTTGAAGAGGGAAAGGAAGGATCTATATCGTTGTACCCTGTCCTCTTGAATCTAATTACCTCATGATCTTTGACATGTGCGTTCAAAACAAAACCTGAAAAAGTTGTTTGTTCTTGATGTGCTTGCCTCAGCAGCGGTCATCTTATTATAATATAATTGACCTGTCGTTTGTTCATTGATCCACCTAACCATCGAGTCGTTTACCCTGCTAGCAAGCTTCATGTTATTTCAATTATGATAATGATTATGCCAGTCCATTCATGTTCTCGGTCTCCGCAAGAGTACCAGACCGACAGAGATAAATAATTTGTCCAAACCCGTATCGCACTTGCACACTGGGCTACTGGCGTCTCCTGCTTCCAAGATCGTGGGTAAGTGACAATAAACAGATTTCAATATTGGGTCCAATAAAATCTTTCATGCCAAAGGCGCACGCTTTAAATTGACGTCAGACGTTTCGGGTTTGCCCCTTGCTCTAATTATCACAGTAGATAATTAGCTCTCTGATAACCAGAGCGAATTGCAACCCTAAAAATGATTGGCGTCCGATAAAATGCCTGTATCTCTCGCCTATTTTGGACCTTTAACGCCAGGACACAATGCTGTTCCTATTAATTCGACTGGATGCCCGTTTCTTGACTGCTCCAAAACAACCTGGGGTGAATCCTTTGCTACAGAGAATAACAGAGAATGACTAAGAATTATCAGTTTAAGCATTTAATCTGTCGCTTGTTTCCGTGATTGCACTCTTTGTATCAGTATCGAGCGCTCATATCTGTAGGTGGGATGTTTCGCGGGAGTTGAACAGGGAAACTGTCAAATAATTTCATTTTCTACGTGACAGAGCTCTACATTAAAAACATAATTTGTTAGCCCGGACTGTTTTCGAATTTCAGGCAATTTCACGACTCAAAACATGCTTCACAGGTAATAAACTTGAAGCATACTTAGTAATTGACTATTGCTGATGTCATAACAGTCTGTGACAGTGGGGCTTGTGTGCCTCAATAATCCTCGAAGGTATTACAGTTTCGACTTCTTGCAGGGCCACGTATGTTGGACAGGTTCGAAGCTAAAGGCCACAACACGTGTCATCAGTCATGACGTATGACGACTTGCTTTGAAAATGTTCCCATACGTAGTCGCACTTGCCCAGGTTATCAGGGACCACACAGGCTGTTGATTGTTGAATTAAAGCAGTATGCGATAAGTTTTACATCTCTGTATGCCTATGAACTTAGCAGCATGGTTACAGGTGCGCAAGTAGTGGTTGAAAGAAGACTGAAAGGTTGTCGTAAATTGCTATTACATCTCTGTGAAGCAAGACAGAGACTAGTGGAAAAAAATACTGGAAAAAGGCTGTAATTTTTATCCTCACACGAGTCACTGATGAGGACGTACTGTTGACACAGTTGGAACTCGATGAGATCTGAAGAGTGCTTGATGCTACAAGATTTACTGAAAAATATGAACTTGGGAAATTTGTTATCGAGGTCATCCCGGAGAAAGCTGTGTGACAGCAGACGGGTGGCTGCAGTAAAGGAAGATATCGAGCTAAATGAAAAAGAGCCATTGCATCGAAAGGAGATCCATCGGCAGTTTGCCAGAACATAAGCGAAAAATTTCTCAAATCAGATGCAAGAAAGATCTGTTTGAATATATTAGTTAGGTTGATAGCATCCTAAAGACGATTCCAACCACTAATTTGAAATGCTATGGTATTATGATGCATGTGACGATTCTTGCGATAACGGAAAAGTGTAGAGATTAAGCTGGAAACAATTCTGAGAAGAAGTGATCAGCCAAAATGATTAAGAAGAACCAATAGCAAATAGGAAGAAGTTCCCGGAGAAATAAACCAACTACAACAACTGAATATAACGAACATTTGGACTAGACCAGACGAAACTGCTAGGGCTGCAATTGAGGAAGCTAAGCAGAGTCTGTTAGCTGCGTCTACCAAGCTTCGGACGTACCAGAACAGATTTGAGCCATAAAAAGGGAACAGGAACTTCCTTCAAATACTACAACCTTTTGAAAACTGGAGGCAAATAACAAAGCCGCAAGTAATGCGGAGGACGTGGATCTGAACGCAGAAGAGTCGGTTCAATTCTGGAGAAGGGTATGGGATAATGGCAAATACATAACAAAGAAGCCAACTGATTAAAGGAAATACAACGGAGTGTATGTGGAATCTCCGAAAAAAGCAAGGCCAC